AAACATGATTTTTTTTCATTTACCATAAATTCACATTATTACTACCTTCACTGTCCTCTCATCCATATTTTTGTTTCTCTGCATCCAGCCTATATTATCCAAAGACTGGATAACACTCATGAAACTGCTCACAGACCACACATCCCTTGAGAACATGGACCAGTTCCAACAGTCGACAGCTCAAACACTGAACACGCTTATACAGACTGCCAGTAAATGAGACCAACCCTAGTCAATAATAGTATAGGCCCCAGGTTTATATTGGTTTTATATACTGGTTAAGCTCATTTTACCTTAAAGTCGAGGGTCAGGGTTAATATTTAACTCAATAAGTCATGAGGTAAAATTAGCCCAAAGGCATGCCATGTAAATGTTATAAGCCCTGGAAGACTCGATCAGCCATCAGCCGTGTAACACAAGTATATCTTGATGAATTTCAGTTGTTATAATTTTATTGGTGGTCCGCTTTAAATATATCACACTTTGATTGGTGGATAGCATTAAACATATGTTAGACTTTCATTTGTGGATAGCTTTAAATGTATATCAACAAGTTCATAGCTGATTTCATTCTAAATTTTTTAAAATAAATTGTTAACGCATTGTAAATCATATTGATTAAGCAGTACCCGTACACATTAAACATTCTTGAAGTAAGTTTAAAAGACATGCAAAGAGAATATTTTAAATATAAAGGAAATGTGTTAAGATATAATGGAGGAAAAAACTTTAAAAGAAACATAAGTTTATCGCCTCCAGATAATCTTTTGTTTCATAAGAAGACAGGATTTTTTTTTTAAAAAGAGGCTAAATTGTTATTTGAAAATGTGCCATTTTTACTGATCACTGACTTGTGATCACATCTATGCTGACTTGTGATCACATCTATGCTGACTTGTGATCACATCTATGCTGACTTGTGAACACATCTATGCTGACTTGTGATCACATCTATGCTGACTTGTGATCACATCTATGCTGACTTGTGATCACATCTATGCTGACTTGTGATCACATCTATGCTGACTTGTGATCACATCTAAGCTCACTTGTGAACACATTTTATGTGACATTCTCTGATCCATGAACAATAAGATTTTGCTTTATTGTAATGAGTTGTGACATATAAAGATGCAATAATATTGTCCAGAATATTTTTTCTCCAATCTCTGACACTATACAGTCACCTTGTCCATATGACCAATGATGTTATGTTAGAAGACAGATTTTTCTTGTCCGTGTGACTTTCTTTACCCAATTCGTATAAACTCTTAAAGCTAATAAATTTATAACAAAAGGTCAATAATCTGACCTTGATCTAAACAAAGGTGTGTTTGGACTCTTTTCACCTGGATGACACTGTTGTAGCATGTTGTTGTAAAGTGGAAGTTTCAACATAGTTTACAACAACACTAGGGTGTTAAGTGTCAAAAAAGTTTGTACCCAAATATTGCCAGCAAGCTGCAGCCATCTGTCATAAAAACTGTTTTGTGACCATTTCCTTAAAAAAGTAATTTATTTTATTTAAAATGGCTTTTCATTGTCACAAATTAATGGGTTTTTTTTGGTTATTTTTTATTTTTTTTTTTGGTGTTATTTTTTTAATGGAATTTTTCCATTTACGAAATGGATTGTGGCAACATAGCGTAGAATGTGATTCAAACATATTTTTCTTAAAGGGAGGTAATTTTGACAATAAGAGTTAAATACTAAATAGGAGAAATAGAAAATACAAAATCTAAAATATTCAAAGTCTTTTATCAAAGAGGAGTTTAAACGAACATTTTTAAGTTTTCATTTAAATTCAATTCGAATCATTTTGGTTACATACAGCTCTACAAAGAGTGCTCATCTACACTTTTGCATAGTCTTTATTAGCGAAATGCAATTAAATAAATTTTAAATTATGTTCTACTTTTAGTACGCTTAATCTCGTCTTTGAGTGACAGCCATTATTTTTTTGTAATATATTTTTTTTTAAATATCATTTTCAACTTTCCAAACACAATTTTTGTTTGATTGTCAACTTTCCAAACACAATTTTTTTTAAATTGACATATATATGAGATATATTTTTTAAAGCATCTTGAGACTATTTAAAATTTTTCAATGATTTTGTAATATACACTGGTGTCAAGATTAGTTTTGTCTTTTACTGCTACAGCAGGTATGAGTCTTTTTTTTATTTTAAGATCCATTTTCTTTATTTTATGCCATAGCTGTTTGTGTGACAGGACTTTCTCCTTAAAAGAAAGTAAAAAATGCTATGAGGAGGAAATGGAAAGTACGCTTAATTTTCTTTTACCTCAGTTCAGTAGCTCTCACCTTCCCAATGCCGCCATCCTTTAATACAGTTCCTCTTGTTGTGGTGACCGCCCAAACATAAAATAATTTTTGTTGCTACTTCATAAATATGTGTTTGCCGATGGTTTTAGGCGACCCCGTGTAAGGGTCATGCGACTGCACAAAGGGGTCGTGACCCAAAGGTTGAGAACCGCTACCTAAATTTTAATCTACGTAAATTCAACTTTCAAAAGAAGTATAAACATTTTCGTGCCATTAACTGTTTTCGTTTATTTGTTTTTTTTAAATCTTTAAAGCGTAGACCCTTGTCAAAGTGTGCCCCAGTGATGCATATCTAGGCCTACAATCTGCAGTTATTGGCTTCAGGTTTCTCCCAGTACTTGTGGCTCATTTTTTAAATTTTAAAACCAACTTTGTTGTTGTTACGCTAATGTTCTGAATACTTGTGACCCAGTTTTGAACAAAATGAAATTTGAAGGACTTTTGTCAACAAGAAAATTATTTCCTATTCTACTGTTAACCCCTGATTTATTGACGTGATTTTTTAACTTTACTTAATATTGTTAACATGTGGACCAGCTGGACATTTATATTTACTTTTATTTTAACTTCATTTTGGTGTATATCTGCTGACATGTATCTGTTGACATGCATCTCTTGACATGTATCTGTTGACATCTTTCTATTGACATGCATCTGTTGACATTTATCTGTTGACATATATCTGTATGCATATATCTGTTGACATATATCTGTTAACATATATCGGATGACTATCTGTGGACATGTATCTTTGCTGTCTCTGACATTTGCATGATTTTTGTCTAAGCTCTCTTGTAATTAATGAAGGAAACAGATGTCAATCAAAACCTTACTGTATATTGTAAATCAAAACTTTCAACTTGAAGGTAAGTGTCGTTTTTAAAGATTGAACAGACAGAACAAATCGAGTAACTGCTCTTCTTTAGTGATCAATGGAAGCACCAGAAACGTAAAAGGCTTCAGTCATTCTAACTGAATGCATTTTAGGTTGGGGGAGGGAGGTTCAGGAAGTTCTTTTGTGTTAAATACTTTACTGATGGTGTATTAAAATTTATATTAAAAAAACACATCATAACAGGGTCATTCAAAGTATCCCAAAAATCTTTTTTTTTTCTTCTTTTTTTCTTTTTCTTCTCGTTTTCTTCTTTATTTTCTTCTTTTTTTCTTCTTTTTTCCTTCTTTTTTCCTTCTTTTTTTCCTTCTTTTTTTCCTTCTTTTTTTCCTTCTTTTTTTCTTCTTTTCTTCTTCTTTTTTTCTTCTTCTTTTTTTCTTCTTCTTTTTGTCTTCTTTTTTCTTCTTTTTTTCTTCTTTTTTTTCCTTCTTTTTTTTTCTTATTTTTTTCTGCTTTTTTTCTGCTTTTTTTTTTTTTTCCTTTTGTCTGTTTTTTACTTTACAATTTTTTTTTTCATAAAATTTCTGAATTCGATTTACTTCGTTATATATTTTATATATTGTTCTCTTTTTTTTTATTTTTTTTTTTTTTTTTTCTTTTTTTTTTCTTTTTTTTTTACCTTTAGACTGTTATTTACTTTACAATTTTGTTTTCATAAAATTTCTGAATTCGATTTACTTCGTTATATATTTGATATATAGTTCTCTTTTTTTTTAAAGAAAAGAAAACAATGTTATTGTTCTACCAATGAGCACGCCATTTATTTGCTTGAAAATGTATATTAATTATCATGAATAAATCAAATCTTACTCATGCATTTATTTCACCAAGCCGTATTGAAGCATGTCATATTATATTATTATGTTCTAATCATTCGGACAACACGACTGTAATTGTTGATTAAAATGAATGGTGGAATGATAAAATAAAAAGATGCTGAGTTTTTTTTCTTTCTTTCTTTTCTTTGGATAAAACATCCAAAATTTGGTGGTGTTGTTTTTTTTTGTTTTTTTAATCTTTTCTTTTTAAGAACTTTATTTATTTGTTTTATTTCTCAGCAAAGACAACATGAAACAACAGCTCGACCTTTTAAGAACTATCATTGTCCAATCAAAGCTTACCAACTGGTACAGACTTGAAAATATTCTATGTCGGCAGTTAAATGCTAGTATCCATGCACTTTGTATCAATCCCATATCATAACATCACACTTCCTATTCAACATATAAGTTTTATACCTGGGCAAAGGACCCCCCCCCCCACACACACCAGCTTTTCTTTTTTAACTAATGCAAATACAGAGTGACATACGGGCTAGGGATAAGTTGGAACCAACAATCCGATGGACACTGCCCATGGCAAGTTTAATCCAAAAGGTTTTAAGAACCACCCCTCTCGATTTCCATCATAATACAACAACTGCGAGGAAATACCCCTTTCTATTTTTAGCAGCGTTCTTTACAACTTGTGCAGTTCGTGCGCACCGTAAACACTGCGTGATTCGGGACAGGTTTCGCTGGCATTCCAAGTACCCCATTTTGAAATGTATGATAAGTCGCGTTGGCCATGAAGCGGATATTAAATAAAATCTAACTTCTCCCCAAAACAAAATGATGGGTGGATCGAAAGCCCCAAGAATACAAATAAATTAAAATTATTGCTTTAGATATAATAAGTTTTCTCCATAAATTGCGTCATTTTTTAAAATTTCATGTCTCTTATTACGTCATCAAATCGCTTATTACTCTCCAACCAAAGGCAAGGTCTCCATGATGCACGTCACCACTTTGTGAGTTCGTGCTTGTAATTGTGAGAATGCCTTGGTTATTCTGTGGCTTCCTATAGATATCTCACAATTATTGCCGACATTTTTGTACCATCATTAGAAGATTAGCCGTGCCATCGCAAGTTTGAGAGCATGCTGCACACGTCCGAATCCCGGAAATGGGCAAAGGATGTACCAACTTAACGGCGTCGACGGGTTGGTAAGGTAAGGGAGTGTCTGCCCCGACTCCAAAGAACAATAACCTAAAAAATATCAAAACAAATCCAAGATTCCCTATGTTAAGGTCAGTGCTCACATGTTAAGTTATCATTACTGCTCGTTCGTTCCGTCACTGGTTCTTTAAGAGACACGATGAGTGCGGTGCCGCTTCGCTGATTCGTTGTTTGCGCGACTATTTCCTGGTCAATGCGCGATTAAGTGCTATACAGTAGCATGATTTCGCCGGGTGCTTTGATTATAGTGAACTCTTATGATTATACTGAGCTCAATAGGATTATGGTGGATTAGAAGGATTACTCTGAACTCGTATGATTATACTGATCTCGATAGGATTATGTTGGACAAAAAAGATTACAATGAACTCGTATGATTGTAATGAACTTGCATGATTATACTGAGCTTGTATGATTATACCAAACTCGTTTGATTATACTGAACTCGTATGATTATACTGAGCTCATATGATTATACTGAGCTCGCATGATTATACTGAACTCGTATGATTATACTGAACTCGTACGATTATACTGAACTCGTATAATTATACTGAACTTGTGTGATTATACTGATCTCGTAATTATGTACAGAGTTCTTAGAATTATACGATACTCATGTAATTATAATGAACTTAAGTGGTTGTAGTTTGGTCTCTAAAACATTTGATATGGAAAGTCGCCTGTTATGAGTTACTCCGACTACCCCCCCCCCCCTTTTTTTTTTTTTTAAAAAAACCCCTTTATGATATGCACTGCTGGTTTATACTTATGTCAATCTCTAGCTTAACCTTTTAACCTTACATAATTATTTATTCAGTCCAGATGACATCAGTTCGTTTCTTAACCAGTTCATTAGCCAAAATATTTCCACTTCCACTGAGATCTCCCATCATTCCGAACCACAAACTTTCCGAATTCGAATACTGAATCAAATCTTCGCGATTGGATGTTTCTTATAAACGACTGTTGCCTAAAAGTAAAAAAAGAAGAACTGTGCTCTCTAAACCAGAGGTTCTCAATCTTTCTAATGCCGCGACCTTTTAATTCAGTTCCTTATAGTTTGGTGACCCCCAACAATAAAATTATCTTCTTTGCTACTTCATAAATATGTGTTTTCCGATGGTCTTAGGCGACCCTTGTGTATGAGTCGTTTGACCCCCCAAAAGGGGGTCGCAACCCACAGGCTGAGAACCGCTGCTCTGAACAAAATCATAGTAACGATAACTGACGATTTATTTTCTCTTGCGCTTTTGAAAATTTGGTGAATCCATAAAGTCGTGAGTGGAGAAGGTTTTCTGAGCACGTGCAACTTGCAACTTTTCCGGCTGTGTGTCAACACGTACATAGATATGAAGTCAAGATGAGGAAATGTCTGATGAATCGTCAGATTTATTGTTCGGTGAATCTTATATCTTATCTTGTAAATAAATGTTCAATCGTCTGTTGTTGTTTTGTTTTTACGCTGATGCTGTCGAGCGGCCTACGAGGCAGCACATGACATGCCTTGACTTGATCTATGCACAGCGCTCTCTATCTCTTCATTCTGTTCATTCAGCTACTTAAATGGGAAACGTTTGGAAGTAACCTAACAGCCAAACAAATCGAAAATGGGGAAATTTGATTACATGCTAGCGGTCACCATGGCCATATCCCTGGTAAGTATTTTAGCGGTCACCATGGCCATAGCCCTTGTAAGTATGTTAGTGGTTACCATGACAATATTCTTTGTAATTAATATTCTCTTCATAATTCACATAAAAGGACCGTGAACTTATAGACATCAAGTAATTGTTTGATTAGGGGAGCCAAAATTGTATAATCAATTATCTGTTGGTTTTGTTTTTGGTGAAAATATCTAGATAAGTTGTATCATGTTAATGAATCCATAATTCAAAATTTAACAAAAGTAAAACGCAAGGGGCCTCTCTTTTGAGAGCTTGAGGCCCATTAAAAGGCATCAAACCGTGTAGTTATTTTTTAAATCTAGACTTTTTGAATTGTGTGTAATTGTTTTTAATAATATTATTTTATACAGCAAAATTCATATATTTTTATTGTACCTAATTCCTTTGTTTGTCTTCCAGATCTGGGGTATCATCATTTTGGCTTTTGGTGCCGTCATACGCTTCAGCTTCGGTAAGCTCATCAGCAACTACGTGGCTGGCGTAACTGAGTTAGTTCCAAGCAGTGCGTGCACCAACACACAGGGGCAAAATATTTGCCCCATCGGATCAAAGATAGGAGATGAGATCGATGTCGGAGATTGGTGAGTTACGTCTTCCTGGATACGATGTCTGGGGCTCTTGACTGGTTACTGGTGGACGGGGTTGGCTGACATGAGCCGTGTCGTTAGTCAATAAATGTTAGAGGGATGCTTTAATGACAGTGTGAATGTGGATGGGTGGATGGGTGGATGGAGGTTTTATTAAAGTGGGACAAATCTGGATGGGTGGATGTGTGATGGATGGAGGTTTAATGACCGTGCAACTGTGGATGGGTGGATATGTGGGGAAGAACTTGGTTGCTTTATCGTGTGTAGACTTTCATTTTAGATCTTTACTGTCCTTGTTAAGGCATAAGACAGTGTTGATCAGCTATGTTTGACTGCTTCCCCAGGCCCATGGTACTCGGAGCGTTTGTCATTGTCACAGGTGTCTTAGTTACCATCTTTTCGGTACTTGGCTTTGTAGCCGCCCTCAAGCATAGCACGCCCCTCATCATACTGGTAAATACTGGCTTCTTTCAATTTATTGATTACAGTAAGATATCGATCATCTAGACATAGATAATCCAGAGCGTGGGAAATCCAGATCCACTAATGAGATGTGTTGATAACGATGATTAAAAAATAACAAACAAGCAAACAAACAAAAATGTTCATTAGCGTGTCATTGTAGAAGTCACGTGGCCAAACGTGACGTCAACACATCCATCATCTGATTCTTAAATGCGTTTACACTGACTATCAGGACCGTGCGATACGACAGTTAGTCTTGAAAATCGACGTCTTACTGTATTTTCTGTATTTGCTTATGTAGTCGCCATCACGCATATCATACCGTTTAAGAATGTTGGGCTGCCTCATCCCATGATAAAATAATCAATAGATCTATACATTTGGCGAACTGTTACATAACTTAATAATTATGAAACTATCTTATTTCCTTTTCTCACTTCAGTTCATCGTATTTTGCCTTATCGCCACTGGTATTCAATTTTACCTGGTTCAGATTGCTACCACCGAGGAAATCGCCGTAAGTAGATCTGATAGATAAATACCAGACGAAGCGAGATGTAGAACGTTGATCTTGGGGAGGGCAGCGGGCAAAGATGGGGTTAAAAGAAGAGCGCATGCTCATCCTATGTGGACGGTCGAGATAGTGTTGTATGAGTTGGATGGACAGTTAGAATTTTAAACTGTTGTACGATATAGTTTTTTCACATGACTTCGTCATGATCGACGCTGCGAAGGCCCCAAGGAAATGACGGAGTGATTTTGGTTCTAAGATGCAAAATCACTCGGCCTTGGCGAGATGTTGTTATGGATAATAGCTTGTTTCCAGTCAGCAGACAGCCACTCTCGCTGCAGCTGGTGATCCCAAATGGAACATGAAATGGATGGCACAGTTTAAAAATTGCCGCTTCACAGGAGCTGTCGGAAATTTCCATAGAGTTCATGTCATATCGCCTCAGGGTCTCCATCTTCAGATCGTTCTGTTGATCTTCTGTTGAGCGGAGCTTTGCCATGGGAGTTTACCTTCTCGACACTTTATAGTGATATTAGATTACGTCTTCCTGGATACGATGTTGGTCCTGAAGTGATTTTTTTTTCTGTTTTATAATTTTTTGCTTCTTATTTCTGTTTTTATAACATCAATTATATAATATATTGACGTTTTTATATTTTGGTTACACCCTAGATTGTCACTAAACTCTTTGCCTTTTACTCTCAACATTTCATGCTAAATCCAAAAATGTTTTATTTGACCGATTCAAAGTTTCACAATGATGCCAAGTCCCAACTGATTGAGAAACTGAAGAATGAATACACTGTAGATGGAAAAAACTTGTTTACCATAGCTATGAACAGCATTATGATAACTGTAAGTGTTGTGCATGCGTCAATCTGTCTGTAGAATCTGCAAACTAGTTGATTTATTTTGATTTTATTTTTGTTTGGGTTGATTCCAATATGGTGTACAAACATTAAGTTGTGTATTTACTATTTTAAAGGACTTTCCTACCAGAAATTAAAACTCCTTTCAGCAATATGGAACATTTCTTTAAAGATTTGTCTCAAAGACTACTGGATTTGATTGATAATAATTGAAAGATTTGTCTCAAATGACTACTGGATTTGAATGATGATAATTGAAAGATCTTTGTTGATCGCCAAGATCTAAACAAACAAAACCACACCTAATAATTCCATAACAACCAGATGATAAGGGGAGGATAGAGGGACGTTAGGATTAGTGATGTAGAGCATTACCTGTAGTGTTATGAGCAGGGCCGTATGAAAATGTTAAGTGGGGGGTGGGGGGGAGCAGCCAAACTGCGTGCCAACATAAAGGGGGGGGGGGTGGGGCGAACCTAAATCTATATACCTATAACTGCTAGCATTTATAGAGGGGAGGGGCAGTCCTCTTCAAGCAGTTGTTTTCATTTTTCATAGATGTGATAGGCGGCCTATTCCACGATCAAAAATAATTTGGCTTAAGTTTAAAAATTGTTTACAATTCAGACCCAATTAAAAAGAACACCACCACCATAGGGACAAAACAAGTTTAAATCAAACGGTGGCATGCGGTGGGGTTGTTTCTTTTGACAAGGTCAGAATGACAGGACATCTTTAATTTTTTTTTTTTTTTTTTTTTTTTTTTGACTGATTTCGAAAACAACAATTTATTAGCCCTAACAGTTAAAATTAGAAGTATAGAACACAATTTCTATTTAGTAACAACTATACATAAAGGATTTATATAAACACAACCAGAAGATGGTACATCTCAGTGTCTACTAACATCTCTTCTGTCCCTCTCCAATTAAGACTAGAATGATCAAGAAAATCAATTCAGTTATGTTTTGCGCCGAAATGCACCCACGCATTTTTGCATTAACTCCGACCTTGGAGGAGGCCCAGGCTTTGGAGCACTGAGTCAAACTAACGTCCTTGACTTGCCAATCTCTCTAGCATTATTTGCTTTTCAGGCAGAATGTTGTGGAGTGAGCGGCGTGGGAGATTTCGGAAACTTGACCTTTGTGGAGAAGTCTGGCATTAATGAGAACTTGGTTCAATTCACGGTAGGAATGAGCTTAACTCTATCGATCTTTGAGCTTAACTCTATCGATCTTTGAGCTTAACTATATCGATCTTTGAGCTTAACTGGTGCATCCAAAGAGATAAAACATGTGGAAAAGAACTAGTTTTGTGTGGCCTCTTGTTCATTGATTGAACTCTTCCACCCTCCGAAAAACCATACTTCTGAGAAAGACGTTAGATCTGTATGTTATGCAATGAGGATTCTTTTTTTTAAATGGATAGCTTTTAAAATTATTTAACTTTTCTTTTTTTTTTAAAGTAGTATTATTGGTTGAAACTTCATTATTGATCCAACTTGAGTTAATGTCGGGAATACAGCTCTGTAGGCCTTCATCTAAGGCAAGCCTGCACAACTCAAAATGTAAGGAGGGCCGTAACATTTTATGAAAAACTTGCGCGGGCCGAAAGAAAATAGGACATGGGGGAAAGCTATTTAGAAAATAATAATAATAATAATATAGAAGATTTCATTACTTCGCGGGCCGCAAAGTGGGTGCTGGCGGGCCGCATGTGGCCCGCAGGCCGCATAGGCTTGATTTAAAGGGTTTCAAGAAGACACGTTACATTTACACGGAAGCCTCATATTTGATAAGGCCCTGTTCTCGCTCTCCAGGTACCCCCAGCGTGTTGCCCGAGGCAGTTGTTTCTCGAAGGCAGTACAGAGGCAAAGTACACGGCTATCAAAGAATGTGCCAGAAGTGGATTGGAAAAAGCCGAGCCAAATAAAAGGGTGTGTTGTTGTTGTTAAGGAGTTTTAGGATTGACCCTACTTTAAATATATTATTGAAATAAGCAATGCTGTCAAAATATATATTTTTTTTAATATTTAAAACCTTCAGACATCTAGACTACTTAGAACATAATTAAATGATCAACTGATGTAATACATCTCAATAATTGAGGATGCATGCGAAAGTTTAGCTTTTTAGTCGTAGTCGCCCTATAAGAAAGTAACATTTTATGTTTGTATTGGGAGCTATTGAATTTAATAACGTCCTAGGTTCTTTATTTTTAGTGCAATGTGAAAACTGAGAACTCCAGAACTTAAAGAAGATAGTCGACATAAGCCCTGAACGTATAGAACAAAACCGACATTATGTCGCCATAACCCCTGAACTTGTAGAGCATATTGACATATAGACACAGAGCGTCAGTCAAGCCTAAACACAAGGCTAATGCGAATGTCCCGTTAAAAATGTTCACTCTCTTTTTCTATTTCCTAACACGTTCAATGTTTGGTTTGTTTTGTTTTCTTAACTTGTGATAGCAAAACCAAATCCCACCCCCACCCCCACTAACAAAACAACAACAAAAATGCGATTTGCAAATATTTACGTGAGGGACAGATAGAGAAAGTTTCACACTTAGGTCCACCCAGTGGCGTCACTAAGGTGACTGTGGACTGCACCGTGAGACGAGACGGGGCGGTGACACTAAACGGAACAACGCAAATGTGACTGAATTCGCTTGATTCGGTGTCAGAACAAAAATTAACGACATTAGATTTTACCAGAACAGAGTGCCATCAGACCTGATCATAAGAGCGGGGGAAACTCGGATGAGGTCCATAACGTAGTCTGGAGGTCCTCGGAGACGTCTGGAAAAGTGTGTGGGGGGGGGGACAATGGGTGACACCCACCCTAGTGACGCCACTGATTCCACCATCATTGAATGTACAGACATGTTCTCTCACAGTATTTCTTATCCATGACTGCTTGTCTTATAGAGATGATCATGTTTGTCTTACAATGTCTCCCCAGTCCTGTTATACCACAGTGTTTACAGACGTCAATGAAAAGTACGGGGCCGCTGTCATGGGACTACTGCTCTTCATCATCGTCTGGGAGGTACAAAGCTAGCGACCTTTACTGAATCCATAAGAGATCTCTCTCCCATCCTCCCTTCTGGGGACTGGCTATTTTAATTTTGTAAACCCCCCCCCCCCCAAAAAAAAAAAACTCTCACTGCGATAATGATGGTGTGGGGCACATTTTTAAATGTTTATCTCCCTTAATCTCTGTCAGGGGCCATGTGATAAGGGATCAAATTTTAGTGTTGAGGTGGGGGACGTTTAATGAAGTAATGTTAAGTATTGATGGTCATCTTATAATAAAGTAATGTTAAGTATTGATGGTCATCTTATAATGAAGTAATGTTAAGTATTGATGGTCATCTTGGAGTCGTCATTTAGAATTTTTGATGGAATTGCAGGGAGAGAAGAGCAGGTAAGGGAAATAACACAAGTCGTAACCTTATCAGACGGTAATCATCGAAAATATTTTTTTTAAAGTGGGGGTGGGAGGGTGGATTTTGTGAGACTGACGTCTTTTTATGACCGCAGGGTCCAATAGAGCGACAAGGGCAAACACTAAGTACTACCTACAAAGTACAAAAGAAAAAGTATTATTACTGTTCATTGTGTCAGTATACAAAAAGCTACAAAAAGGTCAAACAAGACTTTTTACTTTCAGTCAGGATATTGAACAAGAGGTTGTGGGTAAGGGTGTGGATAATGTATTCGATGCAGAGTCATACCTTCAATAAATGCTTCCCATGGCTAATTTCCAAAATGGAGCACCCCCCCCCCCACAACCCAAAAGTGCAGCCCGGGGCTGTAACCACCCCCGCACCCCTTAGTTACTTCACATTATGGGAGGCAAAGGGTTCAGGTTTTTATTTGGACGTTTCGTTGTTTTTTTTACTTTTCGACCTTTATTTGACGTGTTCATTTCTTCTCATATGTTTAGACAACTTCATCGTAACATACATTTTTTTTTTTACCATTGATATATCCCTTATTCTAAAGCTGATATTTTAATGTACGCCTTGTTGCTTTACCCAGATGTTGCAAATTGTGCTCGGGGTGTTGGTGAAATTCACTCCGCCACCGAAAGAGGAGAGGAAATCAGCCGTGGAACATAGAGGCAGCACCGTGCCGCGTGACAGTATAGCACAGCCGAAGATCAAGAAATTCGTACCTTTCTCAAAAGTCAGCTCCTTTACGGCCGCCGACATAGGTCGTATCAAGTCAACGGAGATTTGGTAGTAAGTATTGGGGCGGGGCGTGGCGTGACGTCGGATGGGAAAAATGCCCCAGAGAAACAATTGTTCGGTCATTACCGAAATACCCAATGTTTGTCATGTTATACAATTCTATGATTATGATAATCTCTTAAAACGGGATGATCCTATCTAATCTGATTATAGCCAAAGCTTACTAAAGAAATATATATATATATATATTTTTGTTTTTTGTTTTGCTTACTTGATTATAAAACTTAAAACAGTCTAATTAATATTGAACACAGTTTTTATTTTATTTTTATGAGACGTTGGAATATTCACGTCATCGCAATTGATGCTTTGATATCATTGATCGATGTGACGCTCTTCCCTTCTGATGACATGATTGAATAACTATAGACAGTTTTATATAACCAGTTACTATTTTAAGTTTCCTTCATCCTACAGGATAATCCAAAGAGTCCCCCAAGAACTGCACTCGCTGTGAATCTCATTTGAACTTGTATTTGGTCGGCACTGTTTGCCCGTACCTGGCCAAAAGTCATCAACCCAACAAAGGAAACGAGTTTCAACCAAAGTTAATCTGGGCCTACGAGGGGGAAAAAGCAATCAATTTTGTATTCACTATTTTTGCTAATGACATCATTCTTTCTAGGAAAAGGTGTTTTATAATTTACTGTCACAAGTATTGAAACATCACCTTGCCAAGTTCCCTCCTGAATTTATGAAGTAACAACGAACATTTCAACAAGGATTGCCAAGCTGTACAAAACAAAAAAGTGAATGTTTTTTTTCTTCCTGCTATGCATTTTATGATGCAAAAAATATAATTTAAAACATAGAAAAATTGTAAAATTTTAAAAACGTATGCTAAAGACGGCATAAAATAGAACCAAAAAAATTACAAATGCAAAATAATCAGCATATAATTAATTTTTTGTTTTTGTTTTGCAATGTATTCATTAATAAAATTTGTGTGATCAAATCTTTTGTTTTGATCGATGAAACAAAGCCAATATTTTTTTTTCACAATGTAACATTATGTCATTGATTGAAGAAGGTACAATTGCAAGAGGGCATTTGTTGTATTACATCTAAAGATGACGATGGTCTAGCGCCTTTGAAACCATGGGGTGGCAGTATTACCCAAAGAAAACAAAATTGAGGAAAATAAATTTCAGCAAGTAAATATCTTAAATATGTATTTTTGTTTGCTTATTAATGTGTACGTGATCTATGATTTCTGAACTCTCGGGCCACTGTAACGATGCTATTAGTGGTGAAGAATTTGTGTATTGTGAATATTCTTTGGTCAAATATGTACTCATTGGTGAAGAGAGTATTCATTGGTTAAGAGAGTATTCATTGGTGAAGAGAGTATTCATTGGTTAAGAGATTATTCATTATTGAAGAGCGTATTCATTGGTGAAGAGAGTATTCATACACTGAATAGGGTAGTCGTTGGGGAAGAGAGTATGCATTGGTGAAGAAAGTATTCATTGGTGAGAGGGTATTCATTGGTGAAATGAAAAGAATATTCAATGGTGAAGAGAAAATTCATCGGTGAAAAAAGTATTTATTGTTGAAGAGGGTATTCATTGGTGACGAGAGTATTCATTGGGGGAAGAAAGTATTCATTGGAGAAGAGGGTATTCATTGGTGAAGAGTATTCATTGGTGAAGAGGGTATTCATTGGTGACGAGAGTATTCATTGGTGAAGAAAGTATTCATTGGTGAAGAGGGTATTCATTGGTGAAGAGAGTATTCATTGGGGAAGAGTATTCATTGGTGAAAGAGTATTCATTGTTGAAGAGGTTATTTATTGGTAAAGAGCATATTCATTGGGGAAGAGAGTATTCATTGGTGAAGGAGTATTCATTGGTGAAGAGGGTATTCATTGGTGAAGTGAGCATTCATTGGTGAAGAGAGTATTCATTGGTGAAGAGAGTATTCATTGGGGAAGGAGTATTCATTGGTGAAGAGGGTGTTCATTGGTGAAGAGAGTATTCATTGGTGAAGAGAGTATTCATTGGTGAAGAGGGTGTTGAAGGAAAAAATGGATAAGCTGAAAATTCGAGGGTGGGTGAATTAAAAAAGAGGGATTGGTGTTTTCAGGTGAAAGTGTGTGTGTGTGGGGGGGGGGGGCTACATTTAGGCAGGACAAGGTTGGGGGGGGGAATAAAACCTTGTTTAGGTGTTCACTGGGTGTTTGGGGTACACATAAAAACAGGCTGGAATCACAACTTAGGACATTAATGTAAGGCGAAATAAGATCATAAGGTCAAATCACGAATTCAAACAGGACCCCGATCTATTCAGCCCTACACATAACATTAAGTAAATAACATAGTGGGCAGAGAGTAGGAAATAATGTGGTACACAGATAGTAAGAAATAATGTGGTACACAGATAGTAGGAAATAATGTGATGCACATATAGTAGGGAATAATGTGTTACATAGAATGATAGATAGTAAGAAATAATGTGGTACACAGATGTTATGAAATAATTCTTTACGCAGATAGTAGGAGATAATATTGTACACAGATAGAAGGAAATAATGTGGTTCACAGAAGGAAATAATGTGGTACACAGACCAATGTTCCCTCTAAGGTTTGTTGGTTCGTGTGCAAATCATACAGTTGTGTGCAAAGTTTTACAGCCCACAAACACAAACACAACTCACATGGACATTTGCGGCGCGGATACTCAACACTGCTGCGCGGCGTCTGATAGCGACCGCGCAGCATAAAGGGAACATTGGACAGAGGGTTGAATTCCTAGAGTGTGTCAGTTTAGAGTGTGTCAGTTTAGAGTGTGTCAGTTTAGAGTGTGTCAGTTTAGAGTGTGTCAGTTTAGAGTGTGTCAGTTTAGAGTGTGTTAGTTTAGAGTGTGTCAGTTTAGAGTGAGGCATTTAGTTTAGACTTAGTCACACTTTGTTCTTTGTTTTTAAAGTTATTTTGCGTGTTTCGATCGTTGGCCAAGGTAGTAATACGCCTAATAATAAATAATTCTTCATTACAACGCTCATTTATTGTCTAATTTATCTATTATATTTTTTTTTCAAAAATTAAGTACATAATTCTTACTTGGAGTCTGTAACTTAGCGGAGTCAATGTAAAACACGACCTAGATTAACGAACTTCTTTTTAGTGTCTGTTCATGTGATATGGAGGTTGCGTAATAATACCGGTGTCACACAATTTGCCTGCCATCAAATTTGATCGAATAGTGATTTGAAATTTGGGACAAGGCTTTATATAACGATCGCATCAAATGTCATGTTTAATGGAAAATTTGGTCGTTTGGCCTTGGAAAACTCGAGGGTTCACCCAAAACGAGAGTGCACCCCTCTCCTCACCCCCCCGGAAACTATTTTTCGTACACTCCTGCATCACAGGGAAGGTAGCACATCGCGGCACAAAGACTAACCACAAGGAAAGTAGCACATCACGGCCCATGACTAACCACAAGGAAAGTAGCACATCATGGCCCAATGTCAAACCACAAGGAAAGTAGCACATCACTGCCCAATGACTAACCACAAGGAAAGTAGCACATCACTGCCCAAGGACTAACCACAAGGAAAGTAGCACATCACGGCCCAATGACTAACCACAAGGAAAGTAGCACATCACAGCCCAAGGACTAACCACAAGGAAAGCAACACATCATGGCCCAATGTCAAACCACAAGGAAATTAACACATCACGGCCCAATGACTAACCACAAGGAAAGTAGCACATCACAGCCCAAGGACTAACCACAAGGAAAGCAACACATCATGGCCCAATGTCAAACCACAAGGAAATTAACACATCACGGCCTAATAACTAACCACAAGGAAAGTAGCACATCACAGCCCAATGGCTAACCTCAGGGAAAGTAACACATCACAGTCCAATGACTAACGACAGGGAAAGTAGCATATCACAGCCGAATGCTTAACAACAAGGAAAGTAGCACATCACAGCGCAATGCTTAACCACAAGAAAAGTAGCACATCACAGCGCAATGCTTAACCACAAGGAAAGTAGCACATCTCAGCGCAATGCTTAACCACAAGGAAAGTAGCACATTTAGAAAATGCAACAACTGCTCTGGTGAAGTTTTGGTTTTTAACTTGTAAAAACATTTAAGATTTTATCACTAAAATTCTGGAATCGGAGGATTACATTTGACCCTAAGAGTGATAACGTTCTCTGACATCAAGGAAGACAACTTTTTTTCTGACATCAAGAAAACAACATTTTCTTTATTTTTACATCAAAACGAGACCAGGAAAACGTAGATCCATATTTGAGACATAAGCACTGGGACAAGTTGCCTCGGTGCTATGGACATTCAGACAAATAGGGTGGAAATTTGCTGTGAATTTAGTCTGTTCTGGAGGAATAAAATTTAGGATTATTGCAAAGTTAATTTTAAAAAAAAATACATTTAAGTTTCATAGGTTATTTTTTAAATACTTTATGATTAATAAAATAATATCGGAGCTAATGACATTATAATCTACAAATTTTATTTTAGTTTTTCCTTAATATTTATTTTAATTTATTTATTTTTGTTTTAAGATTTCTTTTAACTTATTTTATAAGTTACTAATAAGCCCTTTAATCTGTGGTACCGAGCTAAAGGATCGAATGCATCACAAAATTAAGTCCAAGTGCTAAATTGATCTATTATCGAAAATTAAGCTGAAAAAGGGTTCATCTTTTTACGCCATGTTCCGGATTCAATTTTTTTTACATCTATGGCGTCCTTGACATCGACAGTAGGATATTATAAGATGGCGGAAGTGATTTTTTTCATCTTCTTGTAAACCCAAGTCTCGAAAGAAGAATTTGTTTGAAAAAAACATAACATCGACACACAAAAAAAAAACGAAAACAAAAACAAAAAAGAAACAAAAAAAAAGCTGTATTAACATCTCGGCTCATGGCATATTATTTAACCAAAATTAGGTGAAAGAAAGAGAAAAGTAAAAGGCAGGTCAGTTTAATTATTAACTTTACTTTGTCACAAGTAAAACTTATCAAAATTTTAAAAATCATTTGTATCTTAAGTTATGGGCTTTTAATAATAATAGTAATAATAATAATAATAGCATGAGTCAGACAGACAAGTCCATCATAAAAGACAAGAGGGGCTGGGAAGAAAAGGGGTGGGGGGGGTCGTTTTCTTATACGCTACATCAGGCACGCTGTATGTTATTTCTCTATGGCTAATCTTTTTGCGAAATTTCCAAACAATTCTAAACCAATAAGAATTTAGTAAAAATTTCATAAAAAGTTCACTTTAAATATTTGGTTGCCATTTATCAACAAGTGTAAGCAATGCGTTTTTCTCTCCAGTTGATGTTAAATAAATTATGTATATAAGGGCAATCTGAAGATTAGTGGCTATCAATACATCAGGGGCCATCCATATATTAGAGGCCATCCGTATATTAGGGTCCATCCGTATATTAAGGACCATCCGTATATTAAGTGCTATCCGTATATTAGGGACCATCCGTATATTAAGAGCTATCCGTATATTAAGTTCCATCCGTATATTAAGAGCTATCCGTATATTAAGTGGTATCCGTATATTATGCTGCCCCCTCCCCCATCCATGCGTATGCACAATGTGCTCTCAGTTCTCTCCCCATCCATGCGTATGCACAATGTGCTCTTAGTTCTCTCCCCATCTATGCGTATGCACTATGTGCTCTTAGTTGTCTCCCCATCCATGCGTATGCACAATGTGCTCTCAGTTCTCTCCCCATCCATGCGTATGCACAATGTGCTCTTAGTTCTCTCCCCATCTATGCGTATGCACTATGTGCTCTTAGTTCTCTCCCCATCCATGCGTATGCACAATGTGCTCTTAGTTCTCTCCCCATCTATGCGTATGCACTATGTGCTCTTAGTTCTCTCCCCATCCATGCGTATGCACAATGTGCTCTCAGTTCTCTCCCCATCCATGCGTATGCACAATGTGCTCTTAGTTCTCTCCCCCATCCATGCGTATGCACTATGTGCTCTTAGTTCTCTCCCCCATCTATGCGTATGTACTATGTGCTCTTAGTTCTCGCCCCCATCTATGCGTATGTACTATGTGCTCTTAGTTCTCGCCCCCATCTATGCGTATGTACTATGTGCTCTTAGTTCTCCCCCATCTATGCGTATGCACAATGTGCTCTTAGTTCTCTCCCCATCTATGCGTATGCACAATGTGCTCTTAGTTCTCTCCCCATCTATGCGTATGCACTATGTGCTCTTAGTTCTCTCCCCATCCATGCGTATGCACAATGTGCTCTTAGTTCTCTCCCCATCCATGCGTATGCACTATGTGCTCTTAGTTCTCTCCCCATCTATGCGTATGCACAATGTGCTCTTAGTTCTCTCCCCATCTATGCGTATGCACAATGAGCGATATGGTCATGCCATAAGTCACTGGTTCATATTTTACAGATAATTTATTGTAGCTGATAAGACTCAAAACGGGTTTGTTAGTTTTTTTTTAAAAATTAAACGCATTCTTCCTTCAGTCTTCGCGGGATGATGAAGTAGCCAATGACACGTCATCAGACGGCTTACGAGGCCGATCCTAGAATGGAAGTCTCGGCTGCAATTCTCGCAGGAGAACCTTTGCTCCTGGTTAATGCTCTTTTTGTTGCAAGGGCATGTTCTGCCGTTTTTTTTTGTTTGTTTTTTTTTGTTAACTCATTCGTACACTGCTTTCCGCCAGCCGGAACGGTGATCAGCGGACGGCAGTCCCTCACTCGTCGTCAATCTCTTGTAGGTCGGTGTCAAAGCCAGGACACATGGTTCTTACGTTCCATGTTGCGAAGCGAAGTGGGGGAGTCTTCCTTCTATTTGCTTTCCTTGCTTTACAACAATAACAACAACAAACCAAAAAACAAAAGAAAGAAAAAAAAAAGAAGAAAAAACCCTGCTTCCAGCGCCGCTACATAGCTTGGACGGTGTTTTGTGGAGGCCAGCGGATGCCCCCACTCTCTACGCAGCCAGTGGATCCTAGAGAATGAAAGCTGTCAATGCTACTTGGCACTAACTGGGTTGCAGGAGTTGTCGAAATGACGTTGGGATCAGCGTCAGATCGACTTCGGGACTCCATCTCCGGGTTGTACAGTTTGGGTTTTCTCCCCCGAATCTTACCCTAATTTCCCGCATTGATTTTAAATATTGCTGTTGATATTCATTCAAGGCTTTCCCATCTTGTTTCATCAACTTCGATGCGAGTAATCCTCTAGGCCCTCTGGCCGTGCAACCGACTAACCACCAGTCACATGATTAACTGTCCCCAGGTTCTGTGGTTGAAGATTACCTCAGACTAAGCTGATGTCTGTAGTCATTTTCTATGCCATCGGAATGATGCCGGTGTCATGGGTATGTATGGATGTGCATGGTTATTCTGCGTGGGCGAGCATGTGTATTTAATGGGTTTTATGGGTAGGTGTGGCTAATTATGGTTTGGGTGGATGGCTGAGCTTAGATCTACATTTTCGTATATGCTGGGGTAAAGAATCAAGTCATGTTTACCGTGATTTTGTAAGCATTCGATGTATATAAAATTAAACAATTCTCCATTTGTCGATAATTTAAAGATTACAATTTTAATACTAAGTATTAAAAAAAAAATTTTTTTTCAAAAACATTCCAAACTTGTTGGAAGACTTTCTCGCAAAGACGACTTACAACGTACTGAAAAGTAGGAGATAATTTTTATTTTTTTTTAATGTATTTTTTAAAAAACATTTAAGTTTCGTCTACATTCAATTCGAATCCTATGACGTCACGGAGTGCTCATCTACACTTCTGCAGTCTTTCTTTGCTTATTTTTGTTTCAATATTGTTCACCATTAGTTCCTGATACGTTGTTTGTTTGTAGTTGTTGTTTTTTAGTGCGGATTATATTTCACTGATAAAATAATATATATTCTCAACTCAATCAAGATCTCCCGTTTCTTCCACATATATTTGATTATTTTAAGACTCCACGACCAGCTTCTCTCTGACAGGAGCATTTAAGCACCTTTTTTGATGACACAGATTTTACTTTTTCGTTTGTGATTGTTCATATCAGTCCACTTAGAAAGAGCATAATCCATCTTGTCAGTCTGTCTTGGTGTTCATTTTCTACTAAATTTTTGTGTCCCTAAACTATGTGATAAAATTGGCTCGTTTAACTTCATAGGGAATTAGGATTTTTTTTAAATATTCTAATCTAAACATGCTGTCAGTTCCATAAAACGAGTTCTCATTCTATTAAAAAATCTCTCAGTTCTATTAAACTACCTCTAAGTTCTATTAAACTAGAGCTTAGTTCTATTTTACAATCTCTCACTTCTATTAAACTGCCTCTAAGTTCTATTAAACCAGCTCTAAGTAAAAACCAACTCACAGTTCTTTTAAACCAGCCCTCAGTTCCATTAAACCATCTCTCAGTTCTATTAAACCATCTCTCAGTTCTATTAAACCAACACTCAGTTCTATTAAACCAATACTCAGTTCTATTAAACCATATCCCAGTTCTATTAAACCAATACTCAGTTCTATTAAACCATCTCTCAGTTCTATTAAACCATCTCTCAGTTCTATTAAACCATCTCTCAGTTCTATTAAACCATCTCTCAGTTCTATTAAACCATCTCTCAGTTCTATTAAACTATCTCTCAGTTCTATTAAACCATCTCTCAGTTCTAACTCTTAGCTATTTTAACGCTAACAGTTCTCGTTACTTGTTGAATTGTTTAGTTTGAATTAATTTATCCTCCGTTTTCGTTTTTTTTTTTTTTTTCATCTTCTTGTCATTACTTAGATTTTGAAAATAAGCTCTGGCTTTTGTGACCCGCCAGGTCCTGGGCATAGTCATGTTCGCTTATTTTTTTATTTTTTTGTTTTAATTTATTTTTCCCCCTTTTTCTTTTTTTTTTTTTTTTTTTTCATCTTCTTGTCATTACTTAGATTTTGAAAATAAGCTCTGGCTTTTGTGACCCGCCAGGTCCTGGGCATAGTCATGTTCGCTAGTGGAGTCATCCTACGATTTAAGTTTGGTGAGGCAGCCAGCTTCTACGTGGAAGGAGTAAACGGTGTGGTGGACTTGATGTCAGCCCGTAATGAGATAGGACAAACCATCTGTCCAGTCTTGGAGGATATTCCTAATCAAGTGGCTGTGGGTTACTGGTATGTTACATTATCATATGAGTTGTCATAATATGGCACGACACCGGCAGGCACGAGTGGTGTATTATCACTATGTAACAGACACTGGCAGGCGTGTAGTATCACTATGTGACAGAAACTGGCAGGCATGTATTATCACTATGTAACAGACACTGGAAAGCGTGTAGTATCACTATGTGACAGACACTGGCAGGCATGTAGTATCACTATGTAACAGACACTGGCAGGCGTGTAGTATCACTATGTAACAGACACTGGCAGGCGTGTAGTATCACTATGTGACAGACACTGGCAGGCGTGTAGTATCACTATGTGACAGACACTGGCAGGCGTGTAGTATCACTATGTGACAGACACTGGCAGGCATGTAGTATCACTATGTGACAGACACTGGCAGGCATGTAGTATTACTATGTGACAGACACTGGCAGGCATGTAGTATTACTATGTGACAGACACTGACAAGTGCGAGTGGTGTGGCTAAGGGAACTGGATCCATTATATAGATCAGTGGTTCTCAAACTGTGGGCCGCGACCCCTTTGGGGGTCGCATGACCCTCTCCCAGGGGTCGCCTAAGACCATCTGAAAACACATATGCTCTACAATAATGAAGTAGAAACGAAACTAATTTTGTGCCTGGGGGTCACCACAACATGAGGAACTGTATTTAAGGGTCGCGGCATTAGGAAGGTTGAGAACCACTGATGTAAATGATTTTAAAAAAATATCATAATTAGCTATGACCCATATTATACACACGGCCATCCGCTGACAAATCCACGGTTAACCCACACGGAAAGCCACACAAGCAAAGCATTGCCCATCCTCAGGGCCATCTTCTTCTCTGCCCTGCTGATCATCAATGGCACGGTCGTGATCCTGTACTCAACCATGGGCTTTGTCGGGGCGCTGAATGGCATCACGGAGATGATTCTTTTGGTGAGTTTGTGCATGATCGTGTTGCCTTCACGGGAGCATTAATGGGGAATAGGCATGAGCTTAAATGGGGATTGTACATGAGCTTAAATGGGGATTGTACATGAGCTTAAATGGGGATTGTACATGAGCTTAAATGGGGATTGTACATGAGCTTAAATGGGGAGTGTACATGAGCTTAAATGGGGATTATACATGAGCTTAAATGGGGATTGTACATGAGCTTAAATGGGGATTGTACATGAGCTTAAATGGGGAGTGTACATGAGCTTAAATGGGGATTATACATGAGCTTAAATGGGGATTGTACATGAGCTTAAATGGGGATTGTACATGAGCAATAATGTCGATGGGATACTACCTTTAATTTCATGGGAATCGGAAACCCAAATATATTCAGACACAGCATATGCATTTTTTTTTTTTAACTTTAAGAGCTAAATTCTATATTTTAATGAAACTATAAAAAAAAATGATGTCATATTTTATATACGTTAAATATAATCATAACGGGATTCCACCCCCCTCCCCAACCCCCACCCCAACCCACATTTCCTAGACCAGTGACTTAATATAACCACGAGTAACCATCCCATTAGGTCGTCGTCTTCATCCCGATCTCCGTGACCATTGACTTCTACCTTTACAACGTCATGAAAAACTTGGACGCTGATGTAAGTTTTGACAACAGATGTGGTTTGTGTACAATGGTATTGGGTAAATAATGGATTGCTAGGTGAGGTGGTTTGTGTACAATGGTATTGGGTAAGTAATGGATGGCTAGGTGTTCAACTCTCAGCACTCATAACTTAAAGGCCCTTTGAACATAACTGTACTTAAGTTACAATATTAATTTTAAAATTTAAGGAGGAAGATTTCTGAAATGAAAAATGTCGAGATTTTGATATGGGAGCTAAGACAGGGGTTCTCAAACCATCTTGCAGAGCCACGCAATCTCTTGATTTCAAAAAAATTCCAGCACCTTTCTCTCCATTTCAAAACATTTTCAGCACCATTCTTTCCATTTCATAACATTGCCACCACCATTCTCTCCATTTCAAAACATTTCCACCACCATTCTCTCCATTTCACAACATTTCCACCACCATTCTCTCCATTTCACAACATTTCCACCACCATTCTCTCCATTTCAAAACATTTTCAGCACCATTCTTTCCATTTCATAACATTTCTCTCCATTTCAAAACATTTCCACCACCATTCTCTCCATTTCACAACATTTCCACCACCATTCTCTCCATTTCATAACTTTTCCACCACCATTCTCTCCATTTCAAAACATTTTACAGCAGCCCCAACGATAAAAAAAAAACAACTAACATAAACGCAATTGAACCTCTGATTTTTCTGGGTCTTCCCGCAACTCCTGACACTGCCTTTTGCACCACCGGCTAAGAATCCCTGATCTAAGTGACCAATGCCACCAACATAATTGTTCTGGTTTGAAACGTTTCAACTACAAAAATGTCAAGAAAAAATTAATATTAAAAGAAAGTTATGTAATTGAGTCGGTGTCCGTTTCTCGTCAGTTCCACACAGACGCCAAGGACGATATGATAAAGCTGTTACAAGACTACTACGCCATAGAAGGGGACTATCATTTCTTCACTGAGCTTTTGAACGCCGTCATGATCATGGTGAGTCACGGTCCACACTGGGATGGAGCGAGGAGTCAGGCCTGGAATAGATGAGTCAGGGATGGGATAGAGGAGTAAGGGATGGGATAGAGGAGTCAGGGATGGGACAGAGGTGTCAGGGATGGGATGGAGGTGTCAGGGATTGGATAGAGGAATCAGGTATGGGATAGAAGAGTCAGGGCTGAAATGGAAGAATCAGGAATAGGATAGAGGAGTCAGGGGTTTGGATAGAGGAGTCAGTGACGGGAAAGAGGAGTCAGGGTTGGGATAGAGGAGTCAGAGATGGGATAGAGGAGTCAGTGATTGGATAGAGGAGTCATGGATGGGATAGAAGATTCGGGGATGGGATAGAGGAATCATGGATGAGATAGAGGATTCGGTGATGGGATAGAGGAGTCGGGCTGGGATAGAGGAGTCGGGCTGGGATAGAGGAGTCGGGCTTGGATAGATGAGTCAGGGATGGGATAGAGGAGTCAGGGCTGGGATAGAGAAGTAAGAGTTGTAAAAGTTCATTTTAATTTTTTTTTAATTTTCATTGGCCATTTGATTGTTCTCATTGCATCCTCTAATGTATGTCAAAATTAGGCCCGTCATTTGACGTCACAACACCGTGTCGATGTCCTTCAACAAGAGTCGGTGTCTCATTCGACACGTAAATCATGACGTCAGAGTTTTGAAACGTCTTGTGACATCATCATGGCCACGAAACTTAAACTCAGAAACACGGCTCCAATCCATATGTTGATGTTCATCAGTCTTTATTGCTAGCATTCAGACTCAGTAATCGAATATTTGGAGTTTTTGCTCTTCTCTCATCAGTCTTTATTGCTAGGCTAAAACTCGGTAGATCTAATCAAATATTTGGAGTTTTTGCTCTTCTCTCATCAGTCTTTATTGCTAGCTTAAAACTCGGTAGATCTAATCAAATATTTGGAGTTTTTGCTCTTCTCTCATCAGTCTTTATTGCTAGCTTAAAACTCGGTAGATCTAATAAATATTTAGAGTTTTTGCTCTTATCTCATCAGTCTTTATTGCTAGCCTAAAACTCGGTAGATCTAATCAATTATTCAGAGATTATGCTCTTATCCAATCTTCAAGATAACAGGAAGAGTTGTCAACCGCGCTAATATCATGTGGCTCTTCACTGCTCCTCTTTCCTGCCCCTTTTCTTTCCCACAGTTCTATCCTTCTAATTATGCCATTGTCCAAGCCCCGGCCACTGTCCAAGCTCCCGCAACTGTCCAAGCCCCCGCCATTGTCCAAGCCCCATCATCGTCCTAGCTCCTGCCATTGCCCAAGCCCCGGACATTGTCCAAGCCACCGCCATTGTCCTTGCCCCTTGCCTCAAATGCTCTGGGTACATATGCATGATCCCTTTGAGTTCACAGCATAAATGTTGTGGAATTAATGGCGCCACAGATTTCAACAACTTGACGTTTGTAGAGAAGATTCGAGAGCCCACCATCTACCTCTTCAGAGTGAGTTACCTCCCTTTTACTTTATTAACTCATTTGACCAGAAGCTGGGAGATGGGAGGGAGGGGGGTTACTCGGTTAGTAGCGGGGGTTGTTGTTTCTTGACTGTCCTTTTCATGATGACGTTATATGTTACTTAGTACAGAATGCTCGGCGCAACTCTTACGGAAACACATTAGGTTAATGACTTGTGTTTGCCTGGTCGCTAGCCCATGATAAGACACTCGTGTTAAGAACACACACACACACACAGACACACACACATACAGGCACACCTACAGACACACACAAAATTGTCCGGGAAGCACGTTTAATGCACGTTAACTAGAGAATACGTGTGTCTGTAGGTCCCACCTGCCTGCTGCATCCGAGAAATCTTCAACTCCCACTCAGCCTACAGCAACTTGAAGGTGTGCGCCATGGAGGGTCTTACAGTACCCGAGCACATCCAATCACGGGTTTGTGCTCAACAAAACGTTCGCTTTTGTATTCTTGCAACTTTTGTATTCTTGCAACTTTTGTATTCTTGCAACTTTTGTATTCTTGCAACTTTTGTATTCTTGCAACTTTTGTATTCTTGCAACTTTTGTATTCTTGCAACTTTTGTATTCTTGCAACTTTGAACATTGTTACATATTAGAAATTTTACATTTTCAATCAGGGACGTCGTTTTGGTTAGGGTAGGTTGGGGCATTTGCCCCCTTGCCCCCCCCCACCCCTGAAAATGCAGGTTTTATTTCAATTGCTATGTACTGTGGCGCCTCCAGTAATAAACAACTTAGTATGCCGAAGAAGTTTTGGTTTCGCCCACCCTCCCCCGAAAAAACCAGGAATGACGCCCCTGCTTTAATATGTTTGTGTGGAAAAGAAAGAAAAAAATTGACACCCATACGGTTGTACAGTGGAGCTCCGTTAATGGCGACATTGCAATGCAGAGAATGGCGTTGGATTTATTTTTTCAATTTTAAAAAGATATCGCTGATTTCGTTTTTTTTTTCTTTAAACGGCTTTAAAATTTCGTATTGTTGGTGAGCTGCGATGTAATGTAGCTTGATGATGTGTCGTAGTGAATCTGCAATTGTGTTCTTCGTAAATATCTATTTCAAAAAATACGAAATTTCGGGAGTCGGACCATTTTAGATTCAAATTCGTTTTTACTGCTGGTCGCGTTACACCGGGGTACCGCTGTATTTTCAAAACTCTATTGTCTAATGGTGGTATTTTGTTTTCTTATCGTCTCTGTTGCTCTAGGGTTGCTATGACACGGCATTTTCTCATCTCCACTCACCCAAGGCGAGGGTAGTCTTCAATTTCTTGGAGTTTACGATCATATGGTCGGTAAGTGGTCGTGGCGCAGCAGCAAAAGTTGTTGCGGGGCGCGGTGTAACGGCAGAGTTGCGGCGGGCGTGGTGTAACGGCAGAGTTGTAGTGGGCGTGGTGTAAAAGCAGCGTTGAGGCGGGCGTGGTGTAACAGCAGAGTCGGGGTGGGCGTGGTTTCACGGTAGAGTTATGCTGGGCGTGATGTCACAGTAGAGTAATGGCGCCCGTGATGTAAACTGTGAGTTATGGTGGGCCTGGTTAAACTGTACAGTTATAGGCATATAACTTCCTGCCTCCAGGGGAAAACGTCTACAACAATAAAGCAAAAATATCATTTACTAGCCAATATAAACCGGCGTTGCCCGGGGTTGCATTCGTAACAACAAACTTCTACAGCCTTTTAATGAATAGTGAAATTAATTAGCGTGTAAAAAAACAGAACATTCTTATGGGTTTTTTTTAAAACACATTTATAATAACTTTTGTAAAACTTTTGTTCCCCAATGGGATCTCGATCCCAGAGAGGTCCCAATGGGATCCCGTTACCCGATGGAATCCTGTTTTCCGATGCATCCCAGTATACAAAAGGATCCCGACCCCGTTTAAGATCCAGATCCCGGTTGGATCAAGATCCCGTCGGTATCTCGATTCCTATGGGATCCCGATCCCAGTGGGATCCTTATAGGATCGAGTTCTCCGATAGGATCCTGGTGGCATCCCGAAACCCGGTCTGATCCAGATCCCGTTGTTATTACGATCCCAGTGGTTTCCCGAGCCCAGGGTGATACCGATACCGGTGGGTTCCCGATCCCGGTAGGATCGAGTCTCCCGATAGGATCCCGATCCCGGTGGGATCCCTATCCCGTCGGTATTCCGATCCCGGTGGAATCCCCATCCCGGTGGGATCCCGATAACGTATCATAGAAAGTAAGGTATGGACACCAGTATTTAAGTCGCCAAAAGTAGACACCTTGAAGCAGCTAAAAAAAAAAGTATTATTTCCTTGACAAATCTTGATCTGATCTGGAGTTCGGAATGAAAAGAACAGTCTTGCAAAGTGAGTCCGTTGTCTCTTTTTCGCTCCCAGCCCAATGTCTTCACCTCGCCCGATTTCCCATTAACATCCTCCCAATATGCCTGCTCAAGTGACACACTGCTCTGGTAGCACCCTACTCTGGTGGCACCCTACTCTGGTGGCACCCTACTCTGGCGGTACCCTACTCTGGTGGAATCCAAATCAATCAGCATCCTGTTCTGTCGGGGGACACCTGATCTGGTGCAACCTGCTCTTGTGGCACCCTGCTTTTGTGGCACCCTGCTCTTGTGGCACCCTGCTCTTGTGGCACCCTGCTCTTGTGGCACCCTGCTCTTGTGTCACCCAGCTCTTGTGGCACCCTGCTCTTGTGTCACCCAGCTCTTGTGTCACCCAGCTCTTGTGGCACCCAGCTCTTGTGGCACCCTGCTCTTGTGCCACCATTCTCTTGTGGCACCCTGCTCTTGT